ATTCCACTAAGCTCTCATTCCAGCTGGAGAAAAGGAGTTGGGTTGCTCTTTGGGCTGAAGTCACACTTTCACCACCCCTATACTGTGTTGCTGGACTTGAATCTTTTTCCTAACAGGGTTTTCTTAGGAGTACCAACAGGTAAAAAACACTTGAACTAAAGTCAGGCTTATGGGAGGAGAGGTGAGAGAAGAACTCAAATCTAAAGTTTTTCATGGTTTCCTTGGTCACAGGAGCATTGTCACTGGAGGTGCAAGTCTTCTCCTTACCAGTCCATGGGTTCGTGGCTGACTCCAGATTCTTGCTGAGCAAGATGCAGTAATAGACTTTGCTCAGAATAGGCCCCTTGCACATGGATTCTGCCACAAGAAAGGCATTGCTGTTCCAGAAAAATGTCAGAAGGATGTTCAGCGTCTCTGTGAACAAAAACCTGATATACAGAACACCGCATTTCTATGGTGTAGGCAGGATTTGCAGCTGCAATTTTTATAACTGCATTGGACATGCAACAGCACAACAAAGCAACTGCCATTTTGGTGCTCATGTTTAAGCAAGTGGTTCTACATATGGATAATGCTGGTAGTTATATTTCCTGCGTTACCACAGCTGCTGGCCTGTGTTTTTGACTGATATGCCTAATCATGTTTAATAGTTCATACTAGTTCATACTATATAGTCCTTGATACCTATCATATTCTGAATTATGAATCTCTAGTTCCAAGGGAAAAATGCCTTCTCTTGACCATGTAAAAATCAGTATAGAGTTTGTAATGGTTCTGCTTTTGTCAGGGCAGACGTCTGTAGTCACTCAGCCAGGATGTGATTAGAAATGATGGCTCCGTTTGTAATCTTTTTTAGGACAGTGCTCCTCTTAAGGGAGGCAGAGGAAGTGCCACAATGGTGCAGAAATGCAAGCTGTGCTCCCGAGAGAACTCCATTGGTAGGTGCTTCCCTGCATATCACAGGAGTTTCAGGGACACTCTCGCTTTGGCAATCAGTTTTTCTTTTCTTTTTCTTTTTTTACCAGTTTAGGAAAAAAAATCTAAGTCTAATACAGGGGTGGGCAAAATGCGGCCCAGGAGCCAGATGCAGCCCACCAGGCCCCTAAAAAAGTTAGAAAATTAATATTTATCTGCCCCTGGTTGCCTGTCATGCAGCCCTCGATGGCTTGCCAAAACTCAATAAGTGGCCCTCCGGCCAAAATAATTGCCTACCCCGGTCTAATATCTCTTAAACCATGTGTCCTCACTTTTGGTCTAAACTCCCTCCTAAGTGTTTCACAAAGGTTTCCCTTCCACTCCATACTGTTCAGTTCTTAGAGAAACCACATGCTTGTCCTTATGTTCATGCATGACATGGGAAGTGTAGCTGACCATCAACGCAAGACTGACAAGTACTGTGCATGCAATGTTCTCAAATGCACAAAGGGAGTAAATGGTGCAACAAAAGAGACAGTTTTTCTGACTTCTCTAGTTTTTAGTGACCTTTCATACTGCAGCAGCAATACAGGGAAAATTCCAGAAGCAACACGATTCACACTTTAATGGCGACTTGTGAAAATAATTTTTTCTATACAGTTCTTTGGAAACAAATTACTTGGTAGCACAAAGAACAAGTGATTTATGATGGGGGTTTTTTTGGTTTTGTTTTTTTGGGAGAAAGATGTGATGCTTTGATCTTTAATATGAAATAACATAAATAACCCAGATTTTCTGGGATGATTCCTTACTCTCTAGGCTCTTTTTTGATAAACGTACATTCTTATCCTGTGATCTTTATACTTCTACATATTGATTTCAGTGGGACTCTGCTCGAGTAAGCATTTCACGATTGCGCCCTAAAATCTTAAAAGTCCCTGTAGTTACAAAGGCAGCAGGGTCACATACGTTTCTGTACCAGTTGTTTATTATCCTTTGAAGCATTTAGAAACTCTTTTATCTAAGAAATGAATAGAGGCTTTCTACATTGGCTTAAGCTCCTGGATGTGCATTCCCAGTAAGTACTGTCCCTCATACAGACATTCCAGACTAGACTTTTCTAGTCCTCTTCCCTGAGGACTGAGCTGCAGTGTGGTAAAGCTGTATTATCCGTGCCAGTACTTATGGCAGCAGTATGAAGATAAAGCAAAATTGGTAGAATAAAATTGTTACATAAAACAGTTACTCCCGATTCTGTGGAATATATACAACAGCTAGAAACTTAGGGCTCCTATACACATGCAGGGAGCTTACTCCGACACGGTGGAAATCCAGCTTGTCGGAGTACACTCAGTTAATCGAATCTGCTGGAGCACAGAAACTGATGCGCTCTGGCAGCCTCATGCATCACGTGTATCAGCGTTGCCATGCATTTCCATGCTGGTGATGGGGCACTTTGATATAAAACACATCCAACAAGCTTTAGTTCAAAGCGCCCCACCACCATTTTTTCAGCGCGGGGACATGTGGCATCACTGATAAACATGATGTGCGGGTGCTTTTAATTAGTGTGGCTCGCTAATTAAAGCACACGGTGCTGCATCCAAAAGCACACGTAAAAACGCCCTTAAATTCTGGCAGATACTTACAGGTTCTACGCTGCTGTAACTGCTGCTAAAGTATATTTGGGAGGTTGCATCCAACAAGTTTATTGAATGGGGTCCTGCAGACTCAGTCCTGCAATCATTTGCACCCAGATCTACCACTGACTTGAAGATTTTTGTCTGGGCAACATATAAGATCAGAGATCTTTATTGCTGTGCCACAAGTTTGTCTTCTTAAATGGACAGGGCAGTGGCAGAATGTAAAATATAATTTTCAGTAGTAGGGGAAAAACAAAATCCTGGTAAATCTCAAGATCTATTGCCATTGATTTTATTTCTCTTTGTTTTTCTTTTAGATATCTTAAGTCACACAATCAAGCCTTACAATGTAAGTTGGGGGTTGCAGCATTACTACAGGTGTAAGTGAAATAAACATCAATAGTATTAATCTGTGGCTTTCCAAATTTTGCTATTACATTTCTCCCTGAAGTACAAGAAGAAATACCTGAGATCCTGGGCTCTAGAAAAGGAAAGTCGCACATTTCAGAAGTATATTTTTATTCAGGCGGACAGCAACAGCATGTTCATTTCTTGCTTTGTCCTTCCTGTTTCAGACTCAGGTGTGGAATCATCTGTTAAATATGCCATAGCTGATACCAGAAACTGACTTAGTAAGGTTGTAAACAAATGTGTAACACTTTACCCTAGTCTTGGAGCCTTCTTTCTTTTAAGGGCTCAGATCCTTGCCCATGGAGTTCAAGAAATTCCAATCAGTCATTACAGGGGCGGGCAATTATTTTGGGCGGACTGAGTTTTGGCAAGCCATTACACTTACTGAGTTTTGGCAAGCCATTGAGGGCCGCATGACAGGCAGCCGGGGGCAGCTAAATATTAACTTTTCTAAATTTTTTAGGGGCCCCACAGGCCAGATAGAATGGCCTGGGGGGCCGCATCCAGCCCGCAGGCCGCATTTTGCCCGCCCCTGAGTTTTTGCCTGTTTAAATAACAGCTTGTTTTCACATGGGATGCCAGACCTCAGTAGTGTGACTTCTAAAACAGTTTGTTCCAAGATTGAAAGCTGTCAAGGCTCTTTGTGTAAAAAGAGTAAATGCTATTCTGACTCAATCCTAGGCTGAGGACAGTGAGAAGTTTAAAACAATAGTGGAGTTTGAGTGCCGAGGTCTTGAACCAGTTGACTTTCAACCCCAGGTAAGCTCTTATTGATGTTTGACTGCTCTTAGGTACTTGTCTTGCAAACTCCACAATGATCTAACACTCTGACTTTTGAGGATAGCCCTGCTCTTCTCAGAATGCCCTGTGACTCCAGTAGCCTTTCATCCTGCAGTTCTTCAAACTGCATCTTACCCCACAAACAGTTATGATGAAGTATCCTTCATAAGTCCAGTATCTCTTGGGCTCTGCTCCTGCTACTTTTAGGTTGAAGTTTGGGTCCCTTTGGAGGCATGTTCCTGAAGAAACTTCCAAGTTCCAGAGCACTCGAGTTCCACATTAGTAAGGAGGACTGACCTTCAGAGTGGGGAGTTATGTGTGGAGTGTCTGTCTGAAATCAGAGTCCAGCTCAGGAGTGTCCAACTGGTTTGCTGTAGCTGGGAAGAAGGGGTGTCTTTGTAACCAGTCCTAGTTACAAGGAGTATACAACCCTCACATTTTGGAAACGCTTCCATTTTTTGACTGTTGTGCCAAGCCCAGGTCTCCTGGAGGCTTAACTGCCACTAAGAGAACAAACGGCAAGAAACTGGATGTAGTCAAAACAAGAAAAGCAGAACAAAAGTGGCTGAAAGGAATAATATAATCTTTATTGCAAAAGCACAGCTAAAGGTCCACAATTGAAGGGTCTCTCATCCAGGCCTCAGCAATGGGCTTGCTTGTGCATGGTCATCGGTATGTGTAAACTAATGCCCTGCTATATTTAATCTATTGTTGCAGTAGGATTAGGGGTAAGTTGCATTGGCTGACCAACATAAACCTTCCTCTTATCCCTCCCTCAGACTGCTGTGACACTGTGCCAAGTTTATAATGGGGGAGGGGAAAGTCAAAGTGTCTAAAGGCAAACCAAAAAAAGTCTTGCTGATTCTATGAAGAATTAATTATATATAAAATGGGGTATTGCACTGTGTAATTGGCCTGGTGTCTTCTTAACTAGAAGCCTACCTGCCCTGGCAGCAATGTCAGAGGCTCATTGTTTGCTCTTGATTGAAGGTTTTACAGCCAGAAGTAGAAAATATATCTTTCTGTAGAAAAATCTCTGCCAAGCTGTCAATCTCACCTCAGTCACCACCAGTGAAAGGGTAAATAAGAGACAATTTTAAAATAACCGCTTTGATACTGACACTCTCAAAGCTTGAACTTTTGCATTGCCATACAATTCCCAGTTTGCACCCTGAAACACCATTTAAATACATGTTGCAATGTCCTAATGAATTATTCCAGAGGCTTACTTTGGCTTCAGAGGGGGCAAATACCTTTACAGTCTTATTTCTTTGGCATACTTATGCTATGCTTTAGCAGCTGTTGGTCCCGAGCCAGTCGGCAGAGGGCAGACGAGTTGCTTCATTCCCCAGAGCTCTTTGGCAGAGATTAATTGTGAGTATCTGCTGTGACGCCAGAGCTGTAAGAATGCAAGTCCTGCTGAGGATGTCTAGTACAGGAGCTTATAATTCCAGTCACGTGGCTCAGTGCTCCATGGATCTCTGCTGACCAGGGACAGCTGTTTCCATTCCTTGTCCTGTTGGCAGCTCAGTATTATGGTCTGTGACACACTTCACCTGAACCCTTCTAGCCCTTTACCTGTGCTTGTAAAACCACAGAAGGACCATTTGTAGTATCTGATTGACATGCCACTTCCATTGGCGTTTCTGTCACATAGTGTGAGGGGAGGGTGATTCTAAGCGCATGGTTATATGTTGCAAGGCAGCTTTATGTAGATACCTGAGCTTTTGCATACAGTATCTCTGGATCCAGAAACAGGACAGCTGTGTCTGAACAGGGCTGCATTCAAGCTAATAAGCCCTGCTGTTCACAGAGCCAGTTGGGTCACAGCCAACATTGCACAAATGTTGATATATGGCTTCTGTACCCAGAGCTACTGTGGGTGTCTGCATTGTGCCGCACAGACATGCAGAACTAAGCACTTTGGGTAAATCCTCAAACACTTTAAAAGCTTGTTGCCAGATTAACATGTTTTTTGTATGCTTAGATATCACTGAAGATAGTTGGAATTCATGAGTGTTGGATCAGGTTGCACTATCAACACCAGGAAAGATTTTCCCTTACTACATAGTCAGCTGATGCCCAGCCTCTGAGCATCTCAGAGGCTTTTATATACCATTCCATAACTTTTAGGGAATTTAAGGCCAACAAAATGTTAAGCTGTGCTGAACTACTGCACTATTATTAACACAGCAATGAACCCTGACATGAGTGAGATACTTCTTTCTGACTTTTCCTTGCAAATGCGTACACAGCTTTATGTGCTGCAGCCCCTTTCTCAACTTCTTGAGACTGGGCAAACATAATGTGCAAGTGTGTGGAGAACAACATCTTAAGGCTAATACAGTGATCTCAAGCTAGTGTCTGCTAGAAGAGGAGGCTGGCAATAGATACAGAACACTGGAGCTTACACTGTGAAATGATGCCACTCTGACCTGGTCACCCAGGTACAGTTCAGCTGGTTCTTATCTGCTAGGTGGCTTGTGTGCCCTGTGCCTACCTATACTGCTCTGAATCATTACTGCTTCAGTCATTTTCCTGCTATTGCCAAAATGTTTAGGTTCTGAAACTTGAAATCAAACCTGAAGACTCTTGCCCTTTCCTTGTTAGCTCAGAATTTGTCTAGGACACATTGTTTCTAAAATGCCTTAAAGTCTCTTGGCACTGATAGCAGAAGATTGAAGTTGTTACTAATAGACTTGCTGAATACGCCTAAGATGTGATGTGAAAAAAGTGCATGATGCAACATTCTTCCAATAATGCATAATTCTTAGCCTGAAAAATGGTTGTTCTGGAAAACAATGGTTTTTGTTTTATTCTGTTACTTTCAAAAGATTGACAGCGCCCTGGTAGTTAAAGGGTATAAGTGAACTTCATGTTATATGAATCCTTTTGGGAACCAGCATCTATAAAAATTAAACATAGGCATTTAAACCAAATGAACACTCAAGTTTAAGACATTCCTTCAGCACCCCTCTCTTACTCCAACTGTTAAAAACTGTAGATCAGGCAAGAACCATAAGGCAGAAAGCAGAGGACCAGGTTGGGAATTGGCGTGACATTTGAGAGGGTGCCAGGCCAACTTTTTTGGCATACCTGCAAAAAAGGTCGTGTGTCGTCCCCCCGCCCCCCCCAACTGCCATATATTGAAACTGGTCATTCTTTATTATCATATAGCAGAGATACCTGTCCTACGTAACAATATTTGTGCTGGGTAACCTTGCTTGTTGCACTGTTTACTTAAAGGACATTTAACATCTTGGGCTGGTTCTGTTTCTTGCTAAAACTGGCCCCTAAAAAGTTATTTTAATTCTTGTTTTTAGGCTGGGTTTGCTGCTGAAGGTGCAGAGTCTGGCACATCTTTCAGTGAAATAAACTTACTGGAAAAGGTATGGTGTGAGATTCATGAGGCGGTTCAGTCTAACGGACTTTTGTTTCCTTTTCAGATCTGTATATTTTAGGGTAAGGAGATGATAGATCACCCATTTAAAAGCTATTGGGTGTACACTGCAAAGGAAGATATGCTACCTCAAACACAAGTGTGTGCCTCTCTTCTTTGGAAGTCTTCTGTCAGGCACCTCTCCAGAATTAAAACTATATGAAGGTGTAAATGCAACATACCTTTTTCTCACTTCTACCAAACTAGAAAAGCCTAGACTTTAGACTGATTCTGGTTCTTCATTTTGAGATAACAAGTTCTCTTTTCAACTCCTAAAATTTCCTTCTGGACAGAGTTGTTGAATAACAACATGTAGTCTCCTACAGCATAATAACTCTGTTGCAAATCTTCCCTGGCCATGAGAGGAGTCTCAAGCTCAGTTCCACTCCTTGGTATTGTACTTGCTAGGAAGAACTGTTTGTCTCCATACCCACAAGACTTGAGTATTGTAAATAACAAGTAATCAATCCTTTCATGCAGCAGGTTTCTGACTCAAGCCGTGGACTTCATACAGGGAAAATCTTTTTTCCCTTAACCCAAGTAGATCGAAGCCATCCAATTTCAGTGTTCTCACCTCTCAAAATTAGAAGTAGATTAACCTACATATAAACACCTGCTGTAGAAATATGAAACTCAGGCTAGAAATTGTGGGCAATTTACTTGGATGTTCATCTTGTTTTATAAACAGTGCTGGATTCTATTTGGTGTGGCTAATGTTGTAAAATTTTAATCCCCATAGGATTGGAATGACTATGATGAAAAATCAAAGGAATCTGTTGGAATTTATGAAGTTACCCATAAGTTTGTAAAATGCTGAAACTGTATTTCTAATAAACCCTGGCATGCTGGTCAAGGATAGAGCTGCAACCTTTGGAGAAACAGTTCCCCTGGCATCACTTCCACATGCCTACGACCCAAGAATCTGAGCTGTAGCTACTCTCCCAACAATAACTAATAAAGTCACATTTTTCACAAAACTAGTTGCGTTTAAAGTGTGCTCTGATGTGGCCTTACTACAGACAAACTGAACACTAAAAAGGGAAGAGGAGCTTGCTATATACATTTAAGTAGTGCAGTAGTTTTCAAACTGGTTCGTGGATGCCTGGGGGTCTGTATACTATGTCAAAAGGGTCTGGGAAAGATAGCTACAATCAATCAAAAATGTGTGAATACCCACATTTATAATTCAAAGGGGTTTTCACCTCCATTCAAAATTTCCAAAGGGGTCCATACCTCCATTCAAAATGAAAAAAGGTTGAAAACCGCTGGAGTAGTGCATTCAGAATGCCCACTAAATTGAACAGGATTGGGAGCAAGTACAGCCTGCTGTGTGGTATACCTTTGAGTGCACTGACCTTTCGGGAGTGAGTTTCGCAAGCAGTCCCTGCCTGGCTGTTCTATTGCGTTTAAGATTAATTATTGATGTCTTCTGAAAACCAGGTGACCTTCACAATTATGTTAATTTAACACTAGACAAAATTTTTCTTGGCTACTGTTTTCTTAATTTTTAATACAACTTTCTTTCCTCTTCGTTTAACTTGACGTAAAAACTTGATTTTATACTATCTTGTACTCTGCTTCCATCCAACCACCTCCTCCCCGAAAATAATTTTTTCCTCTGATCTGTAAGCTCTTGGGGGTCTGAAAAACGTACAATCCCTAAAGCCATAGAAAAAACCCAAACCCTTGGTCCTGGTACCAACAAAAGGATAGCACAGCATGCAGTGTCTTGACTTCTAGTAGCAGCCTGCAAAGAGGTTAAACTCTGTCACAGTAAGAGGTTCTCTGGAGGCCTGTTCAGAAGTTTACAGTTTATCTTCTATCCTCTCTGGCATTTGTCATACACTTCAAGTGCCAGATATTGTCTCTGTCATTTACTATTTGCACTTATTACATCTGTTAAAAGAAGGAAGGGGAAATCAAAGTCTAGCTGCACAAAAAACAAATAAAACCCTTGGCCTTTGACCTGGTGACACTAGCACTGTGCCCTTAAGCTGTAGTTTCTGCCCACTTCTAAGCCTTGACAGTGTTTTCTGGTATGGTTCAGAACATGTACCGTAATGTGCTGGATAAGAACTGCAACTTCATGTTGGTATTACTTGGAAAAGCTGGTTCTTCATTCAGAAGAGAGCTGTCTGCTCTGCTCTTGCAGAAGTCAACTGGCTAAAGTAACAAAGGCACTTTCCTTCTCATGGCAGACACAAAACTGCGGGAGGGGGAAAGAGGAGGAGGGTTTCATATTTACTGCATGCTTGTGAAATATGGAGTCTCAGAGCAAGGTCCCATGACAGTGCCATTACTTCTACTGAATGGCAAAGGTTCAAGTTTTGATCAAGAGCTATACATACATCCTGTAGACTTCAAGTGGTGGACTACACAGCAGGAACTCTGCAGCAGATTTTACTTCAGATTCTTGAGATCAGCTGTCTCGAACTGCTTGCAGATGTGGGGGGAAAAGCAAAACAAAACTTTACCAGAAACAGCAACGCGTTACTTTGACCTGGCTCCACAGCACCTGTAGAGATCAGGCACTTCAGCAGGGCTTTTATCTAAAGTTGATTCAATCAGGTATTAGATAAAACTGCCAAAAAAGCCCCACTAGAGTGCCCGATCTATACAGATGTTGGGTGAGCCAGGTCCAATTAACGCACTGCTTCTTCTGGGTGTGCACTGGGCTCAGTGCAGGAGTGCACCGAGTTTGAAGTAAAGCACCATTTTTTGTTTGCTTTTTTTTAACATCTGCAAGCAGCCTAGGATCTTAAGTGCTTGCTGACCGTTTCCAAGTATTGCCAGTATTCTTCAGGAAATCCTGCTAGGCCTCCTGGAAAGTTTTGAACTCCTCCCACAGGAAGCTCTCTGCCTGTTTTAAAGACATCTTAAATTGACAGACACCAAAGTAATCTTGGCATTTGCCTTTCATATCAGCTGAAAGTTCTAGCTGAATCTCTAAAACGTGTGATACAGTAAGATATTGGGTGTACAACAACTGCAAGACCGTTATTAAGGAGAGCATTCTGGTGCCAATATATACTTTGGGATGGAAGAGTTTAGAAAGGAAAGCAGCACCAGTATATAAAGAAGTTTAAGGAGAAGCGAGTTAAGTGTGAGAGTCATCAAAGCTTAAGGAGGGAAAGGAAACAGATTAGAAGGGAACCTAACTTACCAAAAGGGCTACTAAACAGAAGTATACACTTGATTGACTGTTGCTCAGCCTTTGTATACCACTTGCTTAGAAATGCAAACTAGCAACACTAGAAACTACCATGTTCCCCTTCCCAACAGGCTATTAAAACAGTTTTCTGCACCTCTTCATTAGGTAGCTTTAATGGGATACAAAGTTTACATTCAGTTTAACAGTTATGAAACATTTGATTGCAGGAGGAGGTATTGTTTGGGGGAAAACAAAGAGTAAAGTTCTCTTACATTCCATTTTTCCAACAAGAAAGGCACCATTAGTCTGATATTTGGTTTCAAGTTTATCAAGGAAAATGCAGTAGTAAGGAGCCTGCTGCACCTGTGCAAACTTTACTGTGCCTTTAATTTTAGTACGCTGGTTTTAAAATTAGTTACTGTTCAAAAGTGATGTCATGTCACTGGAGGTATGAACACTCAGATCTCACATGCTCAAATTCATCAATATTTAAATTTTTGACTAGAAACATGTTTAACGTTTTGTTTTAAATTACGTTTATGTCCACACCATACGTAATTACTTGATTCTCATACTATGAAGAATTAGTATTTCCCGAATCTCATATTCGGGAGTCTGCATTTGATTTCCTTATCATGGCTATGATTTTCAAGGTAATTCTAAGGGAGTTAAGATTCAGTGCAAATTAGACACATCATTTGCTCCTCTGAATATAGTCAGTAAACACTAAATGCTGTGGCTGGAATTTTCAAACACACATGATCAGAAGTGACCAGCATTTCATACAGTATGTTAAAGGTGGCTCAGCCTTGTAACATCTATTTACTGATATGCTTGCCTTCCAAAACACAGAAAATATCCTCTAGTGACTGATGCACACACTGGAGGAATTCTTTCACATTCCTGGCTGGGTAAGCAGAAACATTGCAACCAACCCAGTTATCATGTACTGCATATCCTACACCAAAGCCATTAGGCACCACGGGCGCAAATCCTCCAAACTGCACAGCAGGGCTGGTCAAAGTGCTTGTAGAGAGAATGTTGTGGTTCAGCTGAGCATAAGCTTGGTCCTGGTAGAAGTCAGGCAATGGCATACCTTTGGACATTGCCAAATAGCGCAAGGTAAATAGGTGCCGGTCAAATCCTTGACCTGTTAAAAGGAAATACAAAACATCATGGAAATTACTGGCTTTTCTGCAGAGAATAAGCCAAGTTGTTTAGCAGGTGAAATAGGTGGCTACTATAGAGGTAAATAACAAGAGGATGGGAAAAAAAAGCAATAAATGTGGCGGGGGGGGTGCACGCACATGCGTGCACATGGCAGGAAAGGAGTGGTATAAAAGCTCTCTCCTCCCCCAAGGATGTCATGAAGGCAGAATGCTCAACCTGGAAATTCCTGCTACTGAAGCTTTCTAGCACACAGAACAACATAGCACTTTCAGCCAGATTAATTTAGATTTTGGTTGCTGGAAGTTTACTCAGCAACTACACCTTGTTTTCAGTTCAGATGCAGAACTGCAAATGCTCTAGCACAAGGGCAGGCAAAACATGGCCTGTGGGCTGCATCTGGCCTACCAGGCACTTTCACCCAGCCCGCAATGCCCACCAATGAATTGTACCCCACCCAGCCCTTCTGCCCACAAGGGTAGGAGCAAGGTGCCCACATATACACACCCCCCACCAACATACCCTATTGCGCCTCACTCCCACCCTCAAGGGCGGAAGCCGCTGCAGCGGACCCTCCCCTGTGCCCCCCCCCCCCCCCCCAAAGGGGGGAAAGCCGCTGCAGCGGCTGGGGGACCAGCTCGGCTTCCCTGGCATCCTGCTCGCTCTAGGCAGCATGTAGGGAAGCAGTGAAAACCAAAGGATGGGGCTACCCATGCAGCCCTCAGAAGCTCATTAAACCTTGTTAAGTGGCCCAGCCCACCCCTGCTCTAGCATCTTGACCTGGTCTTGTCACTTACCCATAGCAGCTTCTTTTGTCAACTGGCTGTGGTACTTGGAGCACTCCATGATCATCCGTTGAAGATCTTCTATGCTGTATTTGGAAGGTTCCCTGAGGAAAGCATCTGAACACTTCTTTGTGTAGATGGAGGCAGGACGGATGGTCTCCGTGCGACCATGTTTGAAAGCTGCAGTGCTACAAGACTCGTATGTGGCGACCGTCTGGCCATTCTGCCGGAGGAAAGCCATCTGGAAGGAGAGCTGAGCCACAGCATCAGGACTTACCTTCTTCTGCTTTAAAAGCTCCTTGCCTCCTTTCTCAAACTGAATACTGTCAAGAGTCAGGCTTTTCACAGCAGCATCAAACTGTTCTTTGGCTTTGGCAATTCCTGTTTTTAAGGCATCATTCAGGTTAAAATCAAGTTTCTGCACAGCTTGGGAAGAGTCAACAGCAGCAGGTTGAGACTGTGGACTAACAGCGGGTGCCTGGGTGCTGTCTTTAAACACCTCGTTCTGGAATCTCACCACAGCCACCCCATCTCCCCAAGAGTGCTCAAAATGAATGGCTGAAGTGCCATCTTTGGTTATAATAAGGTTGAACGATTTGTCATACCAGCGATTAGTACCATCTCCATGCAGCATGACATGGGACAAGTGTTCAAGGTCTTTAATGGGGAAATCATCCAGACACAGACAGAAGACAGCAGAGTCCACTTTGTGAAGGGCTTCTTCATTGCCATTATCAAGTAGCTTCTGCCTCAGTACTGCCCACACGTCTCTGTTTTCACTGGTTAGATAACTAAGAGGGAAGGCTGGGGCTGGACTGCTATCAGAAAGAATGTATTTTAGGTGTGCTTGGATTTCTGAAGGTTTCACAATGTTCCCATCTCCGTCAATGACATTGAAAACATAAAAATTCCCATTTCTGAGCACAAGTAAGTGTTTTGCCTTTTCATCTGTGAAAAGCTCATCTCTATTGAACTTCGGCAGCCGTGTGGAATTGAAAAGCCTGAAATACTGAGACATATCTAGGGGATAAGCATTGACCATGTAGGCACCATACCAGGAAAGGGACGATGGCACAAATCGAATGAGCTTTTTAAACATCTCTGTGTCACTTTTGGCTGGATTAAGGTGAAAAACCTCTGGCTCTAGGTAGCCAGCCCTGAGGGTCTTCAAGAAACGGAGGGCAGAAACAGTCATGTTAGTAGCTCGTGTCAGCTGGTCATTATATTCAGCATTGGGGTCAGGATTGAAAGCCATAAATGGATTAAAATTCAAAACTACAGACTCACGTGCCCTTAGATACATATCAAACCAGGGACCTAAAAAACAGAATTTAAAAAAAAATATATTAACACAGGGACAGTTGGGCTAGTTATAAAAGCATTACGTTTAGAATCATCTGTATCAGAACGTCAAGTGTATTAAATAGCCTATGAAAATTCCTGCCTCTGAATGAGTTAGTCTGAAGTTAAGGGCATCATGACAGCATTATGTGGGCACTACCTCTCTCTACTCACTCAGTACAGAATGTCAGACACCATATTCAGTTATACGTCATGGCATGTGAGAACACATCAAGGCACATTAGGACTCCACTCTCTCTGGTAAAAAATGTCACTCCCACCAACACCAGTTGGAAGTTTGCACAAGATCTAGAGTGGATCTAGTTGACACCACATTTGCCATTTTCTTTTGGGTGTGACTTAAAAAAAAAAAAAAAAATCACACACTGAAGCTCAGGTCTCCAGAGGTGAAAGATTAGCATCCATCAGAGTGTTATGACCCCACTGCTCACCATGGAATAAGCCACTTAACCCAAGACCTGAAAGTCAAGAGGGGAAGGATCTGCATGCAGCTGCAGCAAGTAATTTTTAAAAGACCCCATTTACCTAATAATGCCCAATCAGTCAGTGATAAGTCTGCCCCGCTTCCTCTCAACAGCAGGTTAAGACTGATCATCCTTTGAAGAAAGAGAGGAAATAACTGGGGGACTGACAGCAATGATACACAAAGACTCCCTAGTCAGAATCCAGTACTGTCCACTAACACATATCACTTACATTTGAAGTCTGCTGGAAGGAACATGAACAAATAAGAAACAATTCACTAACCTAAACACTACCTGCTTTCTCTTGCTTTTCTTTCCCTCTCTTCATTCTGTCTCCATTTTGTCTCCTATGTCCTCTCTCTCCTTTTCTTTATTCTGGTCTTCCTCTTTTTGTGTCTTTCCTTTCTTGTTCTTTAAACAAATATAATGCTCTGTGGTTTTTTTAAGACTAGAACACTGTCCCCTTATTCAGTCATCCTTCCCTGCCTTCTCCAAGAGTTCAGTTTTCAGCAGGCAGCTGCAGGACAAGTTAATGATTGAACTAATGTTAGATTCGTTTCCTCAAGGATGCTTTTAGTTTTGAATTCCTCCATTGAGCTACATACCAAAATAAATTTGCAATTATCCTTTAAAAATGTTATCTTAAAAATAAACAGAGTATATTTTTTCCAATATTCCTCCACAACCTATGGCAGCAACAGTCTAGAAGACTCTATTCCCCTAGAACAGTGATGCCCAACCTTTTCACCCTGTGGGCCAGATGGGCAATGCCAGGTCCATCCATAGACTGGATTCAGCCAGTGGGCCCCATCCGGCTGTACAAGAGGCAGAAGATGGGGGCAGCCCAGCCTCAAGCTGGCTACACGAGCAGGGGTGGGGAAGGAGAGGTTCAGTGCCTATCTGGCTTTGTTGAGGGTGGGGGGTGAAAGGGGTGGCCTAGCCCAGGTCAGGCCACATTGGTGGGGGAAAGGAACAGCCTGGTCCCGGTCTGGCCAAGCAGCAATGGCTCAGGCCAGGCCAGATCCAGCTGCTCGGGACTTGGCAATTTGCTGGTGGGGGAGGAGTGGCAGCATTAACTGCCGTTGCTCCACAGCCACCAAATTTCCCAACCCATGGGAGATCCCCACAGGCCAGACACCATGGCTCTGTGGACTGGATCTGGCCAGCACCAGGGGTTGCGCAGTCTTGCCATAGAACATCAGGGGACAGGATTTTCCTGCAAAGACGCAACATGTCCTGCACTTTAGTAAGATGCTCTCAGGCAAGGATATTTTGAAATAAGGATCTTACAGCAACATTAACTTTATAAACTTAACTGATGTACAGTAGAGTATACTGCATATTGTATCATTCTGTACTCTACTTTCCTATGGTAGAGCACTGAGTATACTGCAGTGCCTATGTAAAAGGGTTTTTTTTACATAGGCACTGCAGTATACTCAGTGCTCTACCATAGGAAAGTAGAGTACAGAATGATACAATATGTAGTATACATCAGTTAAGTTTGTAATTCACCTAACTGCATAATACAAAGCCCATCCCAATATGTCATATGCTGCATCCACTAACAGACGCTTGTTATCTGTATGTTGGTTAAGGGCATAAGCCACTTAAGCGTATAGCATCTTTCAGCCCCACTTTGTAACATAAATGAACTCCAGTTCACTGCTCAGAAACAGTAAAAACAGGAAACAGCTTTCAAAGGGCTCTTTTAGAAACCCTGAAATGAGGGGAGCTGCTGTTTTAACACTAACAACACTGTGAACAAAGCTTGTTACGTAGGCAGCATTGCCAGTCCTGTGACATGAGCAGCCCTGACACTGAACAGCCTCCCTCATTTTCAAGGCTTCTAAGTCAGTTTTGGGGCTGCTGATACTATAACACTTCGAGCACCGTGTACTTACTCAGTGCTGCCTGCATTATATTTGGACAAGTACGTAGCTTTTATCTACACACTTGAATGGCACTGTGCCCCAAACAAACTGTTCTTTTCGCCAGAGAGTTCTGCTTATGGACAGACACAAATCTTTTGCTTGTCTTAAATGTGATCTGCACATGAAAAGTGTCAGTGTTGTGGCTGACCATGCCATCTACCCTCAATTTTATTCTGATAGCGCCACTACTCTCTCTCTTCCAGACTTTCCCCCTCCCCGTTATGTTCTCCTAGTCAGAGGTTTAAATTACTTTATTTCCAAGTGAAAGGGTTTTCTCCATTGTTTGGTATGCTGAACCACATTTGTGGGAAATAGTCTCATGTCCATTACAGACACTATCCTAACCAGCTCAAAGGTCTAACATCTCTTGCAAATATACAGTTGGTCCAATAAAAAAAAATATGCAAGAAACAAGGGTTTTTTGGTTTGATTGTAGCTGGACCATAACAGCTACGATATTACTCCAACTCTATCAATTAGCTCAGACTTTGTCAATGGCAGTTTTCACAGTTTGCTGTTCAGAGTGCAAACAGAGAGAAGCTTAAATTTTAACATGTTTTATTCACTGCATTATGAGCTGCCAGTTCATGCAGGCCTTTGCTAAAAACAAATCCCCACATTATCCCACTACAAATCTTCCTACCTGAGATGTAACTAGTGTGTTTGTTCTGCTTGTCTTGGGCAACTAGCTGCTTATGCAGTTCTCTTCCAATCCCACTTTCAAAGCGGCGAGCGATTTCTTCCGTTTTCCTACAACAACAAGTCGGTCAAAATGCCAGCTCAAGGCGTTTTAAGAGATGCATGTTCTCATATAGGCTGGCAGGGGAAAGGGATGCTGAAGCATGCTACAGCGTGATTTGGTACCTTGCTTTTCATACCTGAATTGGTCATCATCTAAGAGAGGCTTCTGGGCGTTCAGGTATCTTCTAACACTATCTTCAAGTTTGGGAATTGGCAACCTGAGGGGAGATAACATAGGAGATTGCTGTTTATCAAGCTGGTCCATATAGCACTTTACAAACTGCACAGCAATCCCCACAATCCCATCAGAAGCTGGTATCATACAGGGCCCCTCTAGACATCCAGATAAAGGCATGATACGATTGGATGCACAACCCACACAATCGCATCTCCTGCCAAGCCACACGTGCATGGCAGGAGGCTTGATTTCGGGATGCAGCATCAGCTCCCATCACGCCTTATTGCCAGTGTAGGTGGAGTCCGGGATCACCATCCTGGGCTCTCCCTACACCGAAAAATAGCAAGTTCCCACAGCTGGGAGTCCTGCAGCTAGCAATGCATGGGCTGCTACCATGGCTGGGAGCCCCCCAGCAGCTGATAGGGCTGAGGGGAGCACCTGGCCAGAGATTCAATTAATGCAGGGGCGGGCAATTATTTCAGGCAGAGGGCCGCTTACTGTGTTTTGGCAAGCCATCGAAGGCTGCATGATAGGCAGCCAGGGGCAGATAAATATTAATTTTCTAAGTTTTTTAGGGGTCCCGCAGGCCAGACAGAATGGCCTGGTGGGCCGCATTTTGCCCGCCCCTGAATTAATGGCCTAAGAACAAGCCAAAAGTTATTCCACGTTTTTTGTGGAATAGCTTTGTGGTTTATTCCTCATTTTTCCCCCCCACGATGAACTCATCAAGCACGTGGCGGGGTCACAACTTAAGACACGACTAAGTGGTAACTGGCACATCGATGATCTTATTTGTGGGAAATCCTCTCTTCTTTCCATTACAGACCCGGTCCTACCTAGCTCAAAAGCCTAACACCTTTTCCAAACACACAGCTGGTCCAAGAAAAGCTATTGCAGAAACAAAGGGGTTTTGGGGACATTTCCCAGGCTACCACGGCTACATTAAGGGCGTAGATGGGGCCTACAGACAACACAGGGACTACCGTTTATCCCGGTGGCGCGCGTGGCACGTGGAGAAGAGCCGGGCAACGCCACGGCACCGCGGGACGCCGGCATCGCGCAGAAACTGGCTTTTGATGTGCCTAGTAGTGGATCCTGGGCTCGGGCCCTTCCAGGAGGAACTAGAAGCCTCCCTCAGTAGGGAAGCTGCGTCAACTGATTTCGGGGGACGGCTAAAAAGAACACGAGGTGCAAAATGAGCGCACCAAGGTCGGGGCCAAACCGAGCACACGGGACAGGCGCATCCGAGGAGCCAGCAAAACACCTGGCCCGGGACAGGAGAGCGGCCCGGCCGGGGGGACGGCAGTGAACGTGCGGTATTTGTGTCTGAGACCGCGCTGTCGTCCATCTCAGCATCTCCTAAGGCTTCTCTCTCGGCCCTGCACGTGCTCCCGGGGCCCGACCCGGCCCAGGACACCCCCGCCCCGCGGCCCGCCCGGGGCGCTCACCGCGGCAGGCTGCGCTGGTAGTGCAGGGTGGGCACGACACTGCGCTGCAGGAAGTCGGCGGCGCGGTGGGCCCCGCGCAGGCCGGGGGCGGGCGGCA